TATAGTTCACCCTTATACCCAATGTTCGTTAACATTAATTTAAATGTTCGTTTCGGAATATAAGGTGAAAATCTATCTATTCGGAAACTTCTCCTCGTAACTGCGTATACCACTTAAATGATCAATTGTCGCAGAACTTGTTTTCGCAGAAGTAGTTAATTCCCTTCTTCACGTCTGAATGCAACAACCAATCAGGCTTGACTAACCACGCACGCTGAGTATAACATTAGCGCCACTATAGACGTCAAAACAGATACGATAAAATATCGAGAAGTTTACATTTTTGCAGTAGCCGAGGCTACCCGCCGGCCAAGGCTTTCTCCCTTTCCCCTATAAATGGTTCGTTTATCCTAAGTGAACCTCTGTCCATAAGTCAATTATCACCATAAATTGTTTATCAAATATTGAATAAAATCGAATTTATGAAAAGTGTAATTGACGCTCAGTAACTCTTTACATTATAGCAAAAATGATCTCCTGAACTCTAAGAATTACTTAGTACCAGCGACTACGACTTCAAGGTACATACGTGCTGGCACTTCTGTAAATTAAAAGCGTTGCTTTCTTTAAAATTAATATATGTATATATTTGTAATTAAATTTTGATTAATTTGTTTCGTTAACTAAGTTTACTTTATCGTAAATAATATTTGAATTGACGTTGAGTTGTGACGACGCTCCTAAAAATTGAAAATGTCCTTTTCTTTGATCAAAATTGATTAATACTTGAAATTTAAATTTGTTTAATTCATTTGGTTTCGATTTAGTTTGTGGTAAAATGTGTCAAGCTAGCCGATATCATCTATGCCATCGTAAATCGTAACAGCGTCAGTGGGGTCCAAAGGTTAAAAGAGTTATGACAGTGTGATGACCTGAAAAAATGACTTATCATTTGAAATATGTTTTAATGACTGTTATATAATTCGATCAAATATGCAATATTTGCCTGTTACCTAAAAATGCATATTTCAAGCTGCAAATCTACCCAATTTCACTAACAAATTTTAATTTGCATCAGTTATGGCCATTCTTGTGTTACGCTAGACGTCAAGTATGCAGATTTCTCAGTTTCCTTCTAAATTTTCCTTGAATCGATATCTCGAAATTATCGCTGAATTTTGGACATTATTGCATAAAACATTCGTTTTGATATTTTATGGATTTCCAGCACTATTTTCCACAAATATTTTTTTGAATGTTGACATGCTTATCTGTTTACGCGTGCAATCTTACTTTTCAAATATTTACTATTAGATTAGATTATGTACATATATGTGTTATAAGTTTAACAGGAAAATAATAATATAGAATACGTACGTTTCAAACGATCTTTACTGTTTCCTTTACATTGCACATTATTATTACTTATTTTTGTTATTTTACATTCTGCTTATGTAACGTACGTATCCTTGCCTATTTTTCGTTTGCTTTAAAATTCCTCATTTGCTGTTTACTCCTACTTATTTTCTGTTAAATGATTCTCCTGACAATAATACTAATTAAACAAGGGATTTTATGTATTCATAGTGTATGCACATATGATTAATCTATTCTCGATGTATAGCTAGAAACTCTTATGCACTTATACAATATAAATTATTTATATTAGTCCATTGATAAATAAGTCATATTCTTATATATGCTTGGTATACGTTTCTATTAGTACACACTATAAATGCATGAACTTCCCAATTTACTGATAGTTATAACAACGAGCAATTACAAAATATTACCATAAAATAATTGCTTGTCATGAACGTAACTCTGTTATAATTTACATATTCCAAGCTGATCGAGAAAATATCTAATAACTCATAGAATCCATATTAACATATGTACAAGAATTATTCGATAATTTCTTAATAAGGATAATTACTTGAGATAATAAAATACTCACGTTGCAGTTTGAAATATATATTATTTAAACTCCCGCCACATGTTTCGCCTTAGAAAGGTTCATACATAATAGTAATAACATAATAGTGATACAATCGTAATTGCTCTAATTATTATTGTTAGCTATAAATGGCATGATTAGCATGTATCTACACTTATTTCTATACCACTTTATGCGCGTTATTTGTAATACAAATACACGGTCTGTCTAAAAAGAAACCGAACTTTTGCTATAAAAAGAAAAAAGTACGAGTAAAGTTTTTACACACACGTTTATTTACTCAAAAAAATCTTCATAATGGGACCACCGGGGAGACATGCACTACAAGATGCAACAGGTTTCATTCCGATTAATCAAGTCATCTCGGCGTAATCGGTGAACATACCTCAAACAAAAAAAAAGAAAAAAAAAAGAAAATATACATGTCGAATTGAGTAACCTCCTCCTTTTCGAAGTCGGTTAATAATCTCCCTCTGCGTCAATACAGCGTGTAGACCACGTAATTAACATTTCGAAGGACCTATGCAGCTCCTGTTTTGGTACCCCGTTTAGTGCGGCGGTTACAGCGGTCTGAATCTCCGAAATATTGCTATAATGTGTCCCTTTCATTGGAATTGGCATTGTTACCTTGGATCATTCACCCTACTCGCCTGATCTGTCCTCCTGCGATTATTTTCTTTTCCCAAAATTGAAAATGTCAATGAAAGGAACACATTATAGCAACATTTCGGAGATTCAGGCCGCTGTAACCGCCGTACTAAACGGGGTACCAAAACAGGCGCTGCAAAGGTCCTTCGAAATGTTAATTACGCGGTCTACACGCTGTATTGACGCAGAGGGAGATTATTTTGAGTAAGTAAACGCGTGTGTAAAAACTTTACTTGTACTTTTTTTCTTTTAATAGGAAAAGTTCGGTTTCTTTTTAGACAGACCGTGTACATACAGTGGGTGTAGAAAGTATTCGTACACCGATCAATTTCCCAAAAAACTTTTGTGTGAAATTGTAGTTTCTTAACTTCTTTTTTTATAATCAATGATATTTTACGTATTCTCGGAAGTCTCTAAGATAGATACAGTTCAAACAACATTTACTAGTCAATATAATTTGCGAAAGTAACAAAAAAATGTGAAAAGTTCTTATGACAAACCATTTACAGTAGAGTTTGTAACGTAAACACATTAGTTTATTGCTCCATACGAATCAGAAAACATCAAATTTCCTCTTAAATATGACTTTAATAGAGGAATTAAAGAAGATTAAACTTCGAATAACTAATAATTTAGTTAATTTAATGCTTAGAAGAGTTACAATAATTATAAAATCAAAAGAAAATCCCACGAAGGAAGTATTATATACTTATAAATTAATGTAAATTTCTTTTTTTTAAATGAAGTTTTAAAAATTAAACAGTTGTGCGAATACTTATTGCTTCAATATTTCTATCGGTTAATTGTTTTTTTCTTGTTAATTTCGCAACTTACATAAATAGCTATTTTTTGTTGTACTCCATCTATTCTAGAGATTTCCAAGAATATGTAGAATGTCATTGTTTATAAAAAATAAGTTAATAAATTACAATTTTACATAGTTTATTTTGGAAATTGATCGGCGTACGAATACTTTCTACGCTCACTGTACACCTTGAACATACATAAAATGCGGTATGGTGATTACGCTGTCCAACAGTGACAAGTTATAATTTTCACGTTTTATATCTGTCATGTTTTTCTACACATCGCGTATTGCGTTTATATGTTCCACCATTTGATATCATAAACTATAATCACAGCTAATTAACTTTGTACACCTTGCGTAAACACGTGACAAGGACGTCTGGACGTCAGCCACAAGAGCCTGAGAGCGGGCTACTCGGGCGCTGTGATTGGTCGGTGGTTTTCGTTAATTATTCAAGAACGAAGCACCCATCCGACATTTTTGCTAAGGAAATTGTAGTTCAGAATCAACTCAGCTATCCCCCATTTCCGGTTCTTACACTAATTCTGTGACACTCTATATACGTATTAAACATTCATTGTGCTGTTGCATCACATGTCTTTCAAATCAATTTTCACGAAACGTGTTTAGCAGAGAAGAGCAATATATTATTAACACTTGGTGTTAATTGGTGTACTTTATGTTACTTGGTGTATTTTTACGTTTTTTTCAGTGTGTCACTGGAGCGCGGGTCACGTAAAAATACGTATTTGGTAGATTTGCGCCCCTCGGCACGCGTAAGTCCGCGGTGAAGTGTACCCGCATGCCAAGTGTTAAGAAAGCAATGAATACATTGAAGGAACAGGAATTGAATTCGTGATGTTTATTCGATCAAATAATTTAAGTTTTAAAGATTTATATTCTGAATGTCGTTTTTCAAGTTTTGAAAGAGTCTCTACGAAAATTAAGGACTCTTAAGAGTCAAACAATTGTTTGACTCCTTATTCTTGGTTATGGGCGACTCTACAGTATGTTTATGCGATATTTTAAGAATCGTATTTCGGATCGAGTTCAATTGTGCATACGGCTACAATACACTTCTGGCTATGGCGTGAAAATATTTTTGACATCTTTAAAATTCGTATTTCTTCGGACCACTAATAGCAAAAACTTTGTGACCGGATCGAAGATTTCAGTTTAAAGTTTTTTGTCATTTTCTTTTAAAAAATTGACCAGGGCAGTTTTTAATTTAACAGTATCTTGTCTAAAAGACCGTATCAAATTTTAGCTGCAAAAGTAATCATGAAAATTGCCTCATAACTGGTAAAAAAGAAACAGTATCCCCTTAATCAAACTTGGCAGCGAGGTAACGTAGCGAAACAAATCCTTAAAGCTATTTTTTCGTGAAGTCGTTTTGTCGACTCCGTCGAGAGAAGCAGATATCGTTGTGCGGATATCGCGACGTTCGCGACACATTCCGTATGTGCACGGACGTGCGTGTTGCGTATTTTATGCGCGTTCGCGTTATCGGGCACCATTTTAACTTTTTCATCGTGGCTGTCTCGGCTTGGCCTAGATTCTATCATGCACATCCCGCACGCAACTATCCGCCGTTAGAAAGTGTACTTTTGCGCAGTCTAATTCCACGGTATCTTCTTTTGTTTTCAGCCGGGCAGTACAATTGACGAATTGCTAAAAGTACAGGGAAAAACGATCAGAAACGAGCTCAGACGATGACGACAATCAAGCAGATTCTTCGCTACGCCCGAAGACTCGGCCAGGTCTCCGAGTCTGGGAGCCGAGTTTTAAACCGGGCCGTCAGATGCGCGTCCACCCAGCCGCAGCACAAGATCATCGAAGGTGAAAATGGAAAAAAAATTTTCGCCACTCCGTACGAGTTCACGTACCCGGAGATGTGTGTCCATGATTACGTCTGGAGGAAAATGAATAATTACGCCAATAAACCTGCACTGGTACGTTCCCATAGAAACATCGCAGTGGTCAAAATCTCCGAAAACGTGGACTACGGTCAAATTTTCAACTTCGTTAAAAGTCCATGAAATTTTAATCACAGATCCTTATATGTGCACTGTGGATTTTCATGTAAAAGAAAATCTTTACAAGGGTACCTACAAAAATTGAAAGTAGTTGGAATTTATTTAACTTTGCAAATATCGTACTGTGAACTTTATTTTCAATATTTTTTTATATTATTTTGTATGCATTTTGTAGTTGAAGTCACTGATCATACCTTCATCATTAAAAGATCAATGCTTCTTACTTAAATATTTGAATCACATATTAGCTTTTAATTCTATTCACAATAATTAATTTTTTGTACTCCGTTGAAGGCCGATGAATTTGTCTAAACAAATCCTACTATATTATGCATACAAATATTTGAGGTTGCATTTAAAAAACTGAATTTGTTAAAACTCCTCTATCACTTCACTTACGACGAAATTATTTACTCTATATAATTTGTCCCATTCAACCAAATTTATTTCAACGTTGGAAACATAATTTTTTGATAGCTTAAACTCCTTATGAGATACTTCACCATTCCAATTTAACTGTGTAACTGTGCATAATTTAAAAAATACAGATCAAACAAATTGAATTCGATATTACAAGAGCTATTTTATACAAATTTATGGAGGTTTTCTTTCTACCCTGCAACATAAAAAACAATATACATTCATGAATTACAAAGCGAATACATGCAAAACCTTCGAGTAACGTAGTATCGTGTCGGTTGGTAATTATTTTCATCGGTGCCAACTTTGTCGGTCGGATATTATTATAATATACCACGGAGAAAAATTGTATCATTATTCTAATGCAATCGATTTTGTCGTTTTAGGTATGCGCGGTGACCGGAAGGAGATACACGTATAGCGAGGCGAGGGACGCTGCTAATTATATTGCGAGAAGTTTGCAGAACTCTAATCTGAAGAAGGGCGACGTGGTGGCCCTGATCACACCAAATTATCCTGAAGCTATTTTAGCCTTTCTCGGCATCTTGGAGGCCAACCTAACCATTACCACTATCAATCCTGCATACACGCCCGGTAAGTTACTTTCATAAATGACGATAAATTCGAATCGATAAGATTATAGTACCGCAAGAGTCGTTCGACAATTATCCTCCAAAGAAAATAATTGTGGTTAAGGAAGGTTCTGATTACTTGTTTCACACGTAAGTGTGAATAACAATATAAGTAATTGTAGTAAATCTTGAGCCTTTTATCTATTCTTATAAACATTTCGTTTTATAGATCGATAAATTATTTGTTTATTTAATTATCAATCTGTCAAGGAAAAACTTGTTTGGAACGACATAAAACTGGAATATGTATCTCTATATAATCCATATATGATCCTAATAAAATCAACATTATGTATTAGGTTGTCCTAAAAGTTTCTTCCATTTCATTAACACATACACAATATTTTGTGTCTAATGTTACATTATTGAATTGCGTACGATTCATTTTGCTCCGTTACTGTTACAACATTAACGGATACTATTTATATAAACATTGCCATAAAAAATAACTGAGTGCAAGTCACGGAAGAAACTTTTGGGACAACCTAATATACACATATAATATAATATAAATAACACACATTTATATATTAGATATTAGATATTAGATTATTAGAAGGTACTTTCAAATGATCAACAGAATAACGACTTTTAACCACTTTCATAGTATTTGTAATAGTCTTAACACGACTGAAATTCTTGTGTGTTACGCTCGTTCAGATAACGAGATGTCCATTAAGAGACGAGTCAAGGTTTATTGTAATTAAATTATTGCAAAGATTAGCCCCTTGACCTACACGCTATCTCCCGATTGCTCGGGCCATAGTAAACAGAAAGGTAGGAAATCCGAACGAAGTACCACGAGTTAGACTCGTGCTTATCGTTTATGGACCAAGTTCCTTACCACGAGTCTCACTCGTGGTTGTAGGCCAAATGATTAATTGCCCCTCTGTCTCATTTATGAATGCGATTTCCATTTTGATTTTCGCCTCGACGTCCGTTAGAAACAATTACAATTTCATATACAACTTGAAATGATCTTATGTACTGTTTTAAACAGCCGAAATCAGAAGTCAGTTAAAGAGTTCCGGAGCAAAGGCGGCCATTACAGTCGCAGAAATCGCACAGAACGTAGTACAAGCATCGGCAGGCCTATTCGGACCTGGATCACCCATCATGGTTATCGAGGATAGTACTGGACCCATTCCTGAAGGCACTGTACCGTTTAAGGTGCGAGATATAATTGATTAGTAATGCTTTTGCGCGAAATCCTGCTCAAATTTGTGTGCAACATATTTCTAAACTTTCTAATAATACATTTCTGGAGAATCTCGAGCTCGTTAGAATTTTAGAAGATGACATTCGCTCTCATTATGATTTTTGTAAGCGATGGATAAATATTACAATTAAGATAGATACGTATATTCGTGTCGTATCATTCAAATGGTAGAATATTACTAAAAATTTGTTAATGGCGAGCAACTTATTCAATTACCGCAAAACTTGCAAGAATACTTGAAGTATATAGTTTCATACAGTTTGAATTTTCTTTCCTCGATAAAATTCCTATGAATTCCAAGAATATAAGGGCATCTTGTTTACTATGTTTTCAATTATCACCTTTGGTGTGAACAATTACTTACGCTAAACGGAAGTATCAACGTTTTAAACAAATTTTGACGATATTCATCGAACAGTCGATACAGTTATATATAGACTGCGGATTTTTATTCATTTATAGGAAATTTTAATCTGCAAGGAACTACAAAATGCAATAATATAAAAAAATATTTAAAAGAAGGTTCGTATTATAATATTTGCAGAGTGAAATAAATTCATATTTAGATTCAATTATTCTAACTACGTTTTCAAAGATTTTATTTTGTATAAAGATCTTCAATCTAGTTATAAGTATTTATACTGCAAGTGGCTACGATGAGTAGAGGAGAGAAAGTCAGCACACTAACAATCGCGAATAGATTTTCTTTGGAAAGTCGGTAAACGTACATACATACAGAGAGATTTCTAAGTATATGGTGATATATATCTTTGTTCTCAAGCCACGCAGCAAGTTAGGCTTATAAATCAGTAAATTTTCCTCGAAAACTAAAATCTTGAAAAGCAAATGATAGAGCTGACAGAAAGATATATCGTTTATCCAAGGCAAATAGATATAAAACCGCTGTCGACGTCCTTACGGAAATAGTGCCAAATCTTGATAAACCAATTAGTGCCAAAACTGTTCTACATCGCTTCAACGAATTTTACTTAAATTTTGCAAAAACTCGCTTGAATTGAACACGAGATTTATGGATTCCATAAAAACAATAAAACTACCGAGATCAGAGCACATCTATCATACTAATGTCAAAACTAATTTATGAATAAAATTAATTGTGTAAATATATATGTACACGTCAGTCAGTCCCATAAGTATTCGTACCCTCTACGTCTATTGAAGAAATTCATTTAAATTAAATGAATTTTATTTAAACATTTCTGAAATATTACTATTCGTACCGTCTATGTCTATGGAAAAAATTTATTTAAACTAAATGAATTTTATTTAAACACATTTCTGAAATAGATATAGTGTGTACGAACACTTATGGAACTGACTGTATACATTTATATAAACAACAGTGGGTCGGTAAACGAAGTTCTTACAGTTAACGTTTCGAAAGTGAAAGTTGCAATTGTAATTATTGTAATTGTTCCAGGATTTAATAACTCGAGGGAAGACGTTACCGCCTTTAAAGAATTCCCAGGCGTCCGTCGACGATGTGGCAGTGCTTCCATATTCGAGCGGGACGACAGGAATGCCAAAGGGTGTAATGTTGACCCACAGAAATTTGGTCTCCAACATGGAGATGGTAGATGTCACCACGAGAGAAACGATGTTTCTGACCACCACAGGTAAAGAAACGTCTTTGTTATCGTTCAAGTACAATGTTTAAGAATGGCCATTTTTAGTATTCGTTGATAATAAACGCTTTTTGCATAATATATCGTAACAATTCACAACTGCAATGTATTGAGCGATAGCTACAGTTATTCGTAGGGTTGTTAAAGAATCTTTCTGTTAACGATCTAAAAATTAAGCATACTTCTGAAATTTGTTCGGAGTATATAAAAGGAACAATTCCAATATTGTTTTTTTACTAATATTATTATTTAGAAAGTGACTAGTGCAGAAGATAGTGGTCGGAAATTGTTTAAAATGAAATACTGCCTCAAGAGATGGTTTTTGCGTTGTGTGTACTGGTACACGATTTTCTAATATTTATTACGCAGAGTTAGTATCAAATATACGGTGTAGTCATATATATTTAATACGGGAGAATTGCCCCGTTGATTACTGTGTGCGTTGGTCGTTTGGAACATATAGACATAAAAGTATTCCTATTGACCGACAACAAAAAATAAAGAGGATTAAAGTAATTGAATTGAGAAGTGTTAACAGAGTTGAAAATTATAAAACTGTTTCATTACACTAGGGGAGAATGAAAATAGGGTTCGTTCAGGCTATGATCAGCTATATTGTATTTTATTTTCTTAATTGACAAGCAATGTCAATTATTTATTTCTCATCACATGTTTAAAATCTATGTATATATTGTCCTCTAATCAATTAGGGCAGAGGTCGGCAAACTACGGTCCGCCGTCTGTTTTTAATCCGACTCGTGGATTAATATTACAGATAATTAATTATACAAATAACAGACGACCATTTGCAACCAATTAACAATGGAAAGTACTAACTTCGAACTCCAGTATGATGATATATTATCTAAGAATAAAACAATTACATTCAATGCATTAGTGCAAAGTTTAACCTGTTCTATAAATGTTTTATACTAAATGAACATGTTTTATTCGTTTTCTTTTTGTGAATAACGTGAATCAATATTACGTAAAAATATCACTTTCTAATAAAAAAATATCGAACTTGTTCTTTTTGTGACTCTATGAGTAGAATTAGCCATGTAAATATGTCCGAGATTGCTACCTGCCTCATCGAGCCAAAAATTTGTACGATTGGGCCAAAAGAAGTTTCCAAAAAAAGTTTGCTGACCCCAGTACTAGAGTATACACGAGTAGATGGAATGATAAGTACAAATTATTTATGTTCAACGAATACTAAAAATAATCGTTTTCGAGTAATTGCCATTTCCCTTCGATATCGAATTGGGCATGAGCGAGAACTCATATTTCAACTCTCTTTGCAGAGGATTTTCAAGAAGTGGTTCCCTTAGTTTTACCGTTCTTCCACATTTTCGGGATGAACAGTATCGTTCTGCCACGCCTTGCCGCTGGAACGCAAATAATTACTCTTCCCAAATTCGTGCCAGAACTGTTCATCGGTGTCTTAGCAAAACAAAGGGTAAGTTCTCCCTCGAATAATTCGCTATTCGAGAAAGTCGTCCTTGAAGAGACGTTAATTGAGACAATCATTTTTAGGTGACAGGTTTGTTCCTCGTACCACCGCTAGTTTTATACTGTAACGCTGTTCCCCAGATAAAGAAGGAATATTTGGAGAGCGTTCACCACGTTGTAATCGGAGCAGCGCCATTATCGAAAGCGGACGCAGACAAGTTCTACGAAAAGTTCAACTTGAACCACGAGAAGCTAAAGTTCTGTCAAGGTAAATATCTAAAGTTCTGTAGGTCAATGCGACGAGACTCTAGCTTCATTTACTAATTTTTTACTCTGTGGAAGAAACTCGAAGGAAGAAAGTTCTTTAATAAAACATAAAATAGAAAAATATATAGACGGTTGCCTTCGGTTGAGCACCTTTTCGGGCGGTGATCGTACGGGTCGAAATGATACGAAAACATTCCCACACGGATGGTAGATTTCGAAAGACAGAAACATATTATTTGGTTACGTTCGTTTCGCAGGATATGGAATGACGGAGACCTCGCCAGTCATTTGCCTGGAAACAACTGGGAAAAAGACAGGAAGCATCGGGAAGAATATAATCGGATGCGAACTACGACTGGTTGACTCTATCACCAACGAAGATATTTCGAATCCTGGAGAGACTGGTGAAATCTGGGTCAGGGGGGCTCACGTTATGAAAGGGTATTTTAATAACGAGAAGGCCACGAAAGAGATAATCGTCGAGGATGGATGGCTGAAAACAGGGGACATCGCTTACTATGATGAGGACTTCGATTTCTACATCAAGGACAGACTGAAGGAGCTAATTAAAGTCAAGGGATTCCAGGTGAGGACATTTCTGTGTTTGCGATTCTTTAAGGGGGTAAGGTATTCTACAGGGTGATCCGCTCGCTAGTAGACACAATGGACACTCACAACAATAATCGACTGTTATTGTAGACTTTATGACGGTGACCCATACAGCCGATTTCGCTGCGGAGGTCACCGTCATAAAGTCTACAATGACGGTCGATTATTGTTGTGAGTGTCCATTGTGTCTACTAGCGAGCGGATCACCCTGTAGCAGACATAATAAACCCTTTGCACTTGGATGTCCCTTACAAGGGGACATCGCAACTCTAGCACATTTTGTTTGTGGTTATGTGGAATAAATTGATTACAGGACAAATTTAAAAAGAAAATGCACGTTTTCTTAAAGTTTCCTTATTGAAATTGCACGAGAAAGGAAACCAAAATATGGTGTACATACTTCTCTAAAATATCGTATTTTTTTAAAATAAGAAAGGTAATGGTGTGGGCAGCGTATCAACATTTTATATCTCAATCGGTTGATTCGTTACCTCACAACCTTCCATACAAGTTTGAGAAACTGTGTTTTGGACAAAATGAGGTTAAAGTTAAACTTCTGTTGCGGTGAGGGATTGTTCTAATTCAAGCGCGAGTAGGGATTTGAATGACTTCGAAAGACAGCAGAATTTATTTAAATTAAAGCAACAAAAATCGATTTTTTTAAACTCCTAGAGTACCCTATCCCTTTAAAAACGTGGAATGATTCCAATTATTAATACAGATGATCAATAAATGTCTTTCGATCTACGTGCTAATTGCAGAGAAATTAGATACGATAATATTTGTCTCTCATTTGCGTCATTCTTATTACAACATTAGTATTATTCCAGCCTGTAAAATGCTAAATACTTGCAGAAGAATATAAGATTTCCGTTGGGTGTGTCAATAAAATGTATAAAATATTACGTTAAAAATCTTTTCATGAAATGCATTCAATCAATGGCATAAACGTTTATTATTTCTATGAAAAAGTTACTGCATTCTAAAAGTTTCAATGCAGTGGCCTTCTAATCGTTTGCCTTCAATGTGCTAAGTATAGCACGCCTCATGGTTGCCAAACGGGCCACTGCAGAATCTTGAACCAAACGTTAAAGTATTTGAAATAGTCCAATGCGATACCGTACAAAAGATATAACTTTCGCATCGAAAAATGAAAAAATATGAGCGAAAGAATACGTTGATCGCCATGTTGGTCACTAGTAACCAGCACTTCAAACTTGCAAAGCCTTCAGAACGTTCACAAGAAGTAGAGTCAAATTTTGGAAACTTCTTAATCAAATTATGATCGTTAGAAATACTATCAAATTTATATTTATAACTTTTATGGCTAAATTATAACTAATTTATAACTTAACATAGAATACTCCTGTTTGTTCACACTATAGTTTAAGCAAATATCGAGGTCGGCCTTGATATAGAAAACTTGGTGACAGTGAATATATTAAGACTTTATAAGAAATAAATGAAATGATGTATGATTGAATGCAATGATGCTATGTAGATAGCATTAAAACTTAGTGTTTTGCTATAATTTACTCTGTAATATTCAAATGAAGTTATTAACGTGATCGATTTGTTTTTTAACGTCCAATTAAGCGTGTCCTATGTTTCTTATCATGTAATTGAGATATTTTTTCCTGGACAAAAAGATAGCGCAAGCGTGCTATCATTAAAATCTCATCTTAGAGACTCCATGGCTTACATCGCATGAATTCATCCTTAAGAAATTAATTATATCGCACACGTGCTGTCATTTTGTCGACGAATGTAGATATTAAAATCTTAACGATTGTTAATTTTTAAAACGAACTATTTTATTAGGTACCGCCAGCGGAGCTGGAAGCAATCCTAAGAACCCATCCAGACGTGGCAGAAGCAGCCGTAGTTGGTGTTCCTGACGAGAGATCCGGCGAAGTCCCGAAGGCTTTCATATTGCGTAAAAAAGACTCAAAGGTGACCGAAGAGGAAATTAAGAATTTCATGAAAGGAAAAGTCTCGGACTACAAAGAACTCCAAGGTGGAACATTTAATTCTCTCTCTAAATTAATTTGTCTGAATTATAATAGATAGGCTCCAACAGACTATATAATAATCAGTTGATTCTCTACTATGTTAAGTTCTTAAAATTTTCACTAAAATTAGTAAGTGTTCTAATACTCTTAAACCAGACAATTCAGTATTTTCGAGCCCTCTCCAGAAATAACTAACATACTTTTTAGATTGTAATGGAATACCTCCGATAAGCTCTGAAACAATAATAACATTCTGAGCAGGAAAGAAAAAATCGTTCTTTTCCGTCTGAGAAACGGCCACAGTAAAATAACTCACGAACGTATGATCAAGAAAACAGACCCTTCCTTTTGCTGCGAAACTCCACTCACTGTCCGTACACTGTACACCACCTTTTATATGCCTGTCAAAAATTTTCCACTCAGCGCCGCAAATTCAGGATAAACCCGAATACTGCCCTCACCGCCGAAGAACATATTAGAAATACCATTCAATTTCTTAACGAAACCAAACTCTTCCACAAAATATAAGTTAGTCCAGGATCCGCCGCTAATGACCTCGATGTCGATGCGACGTAAAACCTTAATTTAAAAAAAAAAAGAAATTCAAATTCTTGATCAATATCTATATAAATTTATATAAATTTTGTTTTTGTATTACGAATAGCTTGTATACCTTTTGCTTGCCATTAACATACTATCGTACTTTCTTAATGAATTAGTGAAAAAATTGAATAAGTACTGTTTAATAATATATTTCGTTATCCTTCATCAGACTACCATCATATTATTTTCTCTTAGGATATGAAGTTAGCTTGTTCGAGACCATTAAAATATCTATATTTTATACAAAACACTCTTGAAATTTTACGGTTACGTTACCATAAATATGCATGAATATGACCTGCATTAGCTGCGCCGTCAAGCTTAAGAAGACAAACAATAAGAATCGCCGAGTCCTATACCAGTCGATAATCAAATAATCATTTCAGGGGGTGTCACGTTTGTCGACAACATACCGAAGAATCCCAGCGGGAAGATTCTGCGAAGACTACTTCTACAGCAGCAATGACCTCCATCGTTGACGAAAGAGAAACTTTAACGCGAGACATCGATTAACAGTTCACACATTATGAGATTGGCTGTGTGCTAAGAGTGAATAACGTTTTTCGCACACGATTGCGCGCTGTATTGGCAGTCGATTGGCGTAATAAGAAACGCGTGACTGTTATTTAAGACACCGAAAAGAAAGTGCAAATATATATCTCCAATTGGTAAACGGTTGATGCGCGATCGACCTCATCCACGAACGTTTTCTCTGATATCGTATCGTGTAGGAATCGTTTCTGCTCGGAGGAAGACATTCGCGACTCGTTTCGAGTCGCAGTGAAATTTGAATTTGCAAAATTTACTTACAACACTGTAACCACGGGCGAAACGTGTCTACGAGAACGGGTTAATAGTCGGCGGGATACTTTTTAATATTACTGGATACATTATTTTTTCTATGTCTAATGGTGCTATCACTGCAATCACAATGCAATTAGTTTGTAAGATTGTATCGTTCCGTTTGGAAACGATTTGAACGTACTGAATGTATCGACGTTATACAATTTTTATAGGCCATTTATACCGTTAAGTAGCAGGTGTTTAAGGCAATAAAATCGTTTACAGAAGTGTTACATTTATTGATCGTTGATGAATTAGTTGTTAGTTTCTCGATAGCCCTTTTTTTATTTAAATAACGGAACGGCATCCAAAGTTAACGGTTCGAAAATCAGCTTGCCGTATGGATTTGCACGGAATATTTGAAATTTAAAAGGTCAAGAGTAAATAATTATTCCTTTTAATATGTTAATTACTTTATTTTAGAAATGTATAATTACCTGTGTACATAAAATTGGTAATTTGTTAGTTTCTTTGTTTGGAAAGAATTTAAATTATAAAGAGATGACTTTGTATGAGCAATTGCACATGCAATTTTTCCAATTAATTTAAATTAATATTGTTAAAATATTGTACCTTACACGTCAGTGTAAGTAAATTCTTATTTATCACATATACACATTAATAGACATGAAATATGTTATAAATAATATGGTGCATGTTATTTTTAATAAAGAAATCTGAATATTTTATTTTATTTTTTATGAACGTTCTCTCCTTTCATTAGGGTAATTTTTGGTATATGAAAAAAAATTATTGAAATGCAATCTGAATTTTTCTAAAGCGTAACTATTGATGATATTGCTCTCTCCTATTTGAAATCTTAACACCTTCACGATCCATCTGACGCTCATTAAATTTTACACGATTTTTTATAACGCAAATCTGTATTGCTAGCTATAAACATGTTAATGTCCAATATTATCATCTATAATGAAAAATGTTTCAGGTAGAGTTGACATGATTTCGAACGGGATACGTTCTGATTTTACTAGTTTTGTTTATAGATGGACGAGTTGGTGTCGTAAAAAGGTCATTGATGTGTTTTTAAATGGGATTATACAGGGTGTCCCAAAAGTCGGGGAGGAGCCGGAAATGGGGGGTAGCTGAGACGATTCTGAACAACAATTTCCTTTGCAAAAATGTCGGATAGGGCTTCGTTAAGGAGATATTAAGAGAAAACCCCGACCAATCAGAGCGCGCGTAGACCGTTGGAGCGGCTGTGGTAGCGAAGGCTACGCGCTAGGCGGCAGCGTCAATGTCCTTCGATGCACGTCGAGTCACTTGTTCGCATACAAGCGCGGCCGCCAGCGCGTAGCTTTCGCTACCGCGGCCACTCCAACGGTCTACGCGCGCTCTGATTGGTCGGGGTTTTCGCTTAATATCTCCTTAACGAAGCCCCATCCGACATTTTTGCAAAGGAAATTGTTGTTCCGAATCGTCTCAGCTACTCCCCATTTCCAGCTTCTTCCTGACTTTTGGGACACCCTGTATATTATTAACTATATCAGTCGATGAAACTTGGTATTCTCTATAAAAATGTACTGAACTATCTGTCCCAAAAAATCATTAGTTTAAGAGATATTTTAATTTTAATGTTATTATGAAATAATGATTCTTTTGTTATTGTTATTGGTTCAATAGGAAATCTATGTACATTACATGGTGGCTCCATCAATTTTCCTCGTAATTTCACTTACAAAAAAATACTTACTACATACAATTTGTCCCTTTGAACCAAATTGCTATTGTAAAAGCATTTGCTTGATAACTTCATCCCCTTATGAGATATTTAACTATTTCAATTTAAACGAAACAATCTGTATATTCCGAATCTAGAAGAGGTGTACACATTATCACTTGATTCGATTTTAATTTGTCATTTCTCAGTGGAAATAATCCATGATACACAACTCGTGCACCCAAGCATCCGTATCGCGACTACGACGCGTTAAACAGTCACTTCAATCGTATCTTATCAGTCCCTAGGATTTCCCGCTTTCATTCCGGGTGGTCGGCTCAATGCCGTCGCGTATTTTTTTACCTCGGTCCAACGAGCGTAGATCGTAAAGCAGAAATTATGCTCGTCATTCTCGCGCTGGTTGGACACTTATTGGACGCCGAGCGTTTTGCTGGACGAGGTCGTTGCTATTTTTCTTCCCCGTGACCGTTCTCCCTTCGCTGGATTTCCGTCAGTTTCAAGGCCGTAACCCTTCGTCGGATATGAGTAGGAGGACAATGACGGGGTCCGAGGACGTTACGACTTTATGGTCGACGTAAATGAACCTTCGTCGGGGAGCTCTTTCGCCATTCCTTTCGCCGAATCGGTTGGACCGTACATGCGTGTGATAAATGGTTCAGTTTCAGGGGGATAACATGAGCTTGAAGACAGTGGATCCTGTGAAGGTTCAAGCATTCCCCTGGTGAGGGTTCGGTAATGTAGCTTCGTAATAAACAAGATAACGTAAACGCGTAAATGTACTTTCCATTTTCTCTCCACAGAGTATAAATTGGCTCACTGCGATTTCGTATTAACAATGTTGGCATATATTCATTATTCACCCACCATGGAGCTGGAGAAGGATATTCGAATCCCGTAGAATAATATCCAGCATAATACCTTAAAGAAATTAATTAGTTCAATGCCAAAACGAATGAAAGTTGTACTGTCGAAACCTCTCCAACACGGAGAAGAATGATGTTAGATGTTTATTGGCTCGAGGGGAAAAAGCCTTACAGCATAAAAAAAACCCTTGAACTATACAAATATTTCACAAAAAATGAAGAAACGGAGGATGTGAACGATTTGATAATTTCACGTCTGATCGCTTCGAGTGATCTCGAACAAGTGCTGTTGGAATTGAAATTCGTCCGGAAGGCAATGATTTCCCCACTCTTGTCGATAGAAGCTTCTAGAAGATTCTAGATTCTAGAATCTCGATTCTAATGTTTAATTTCAATATGGCCATTACTATATATGGTATTTTGCGAAGTGATCGTTGCCCCTGTTTTCGCGTTGCTGGGTGTCACTCCTTGATCGCGACTCGGTTGGAGTCGTCTGTGAATTCATCGCCCGCTCGATTTGCTCAGCTGTCTTGAGCTGTCGAGAATCCGTCGCCAGCAAAACAGCGACAGATCAGCTCCTTCGAAAAATCGATGTATGAATTGCACGCAGGTTTGAATGTGTATGATACGTATGTGAGCACGGCCTGCCGTGGAGTTCTGGGCTCCTGATTCGGACCACCGAAGTGTGAATCTTTTGACTCCATTAATTGAGCAACCTTGGGCGACGAAACTGATCTCAGTTCGCCCAGGTTCATGATGTACAGGCCGTGTATAATGTTTGATAGGCGTGCTATAGCTACGAGGAGTGTAATGTCTCCTCGAAACATTGTGAAATGTTTGGGGATCGAGCGAACGATGATGATGTATTCGTATCTTCATCAGTCGCGACGAATAATAACGTTCGCAGCTGAACAAAAGTGTTACAGAAAGTGTTACAAAATAATGGAGATATTAATAATTATTAATATACTGTGATATAATTTAATTACTGTGTATAATTACTGTGCCATTTAAATGTAAAATTGTGTTGTATTAGGTGGGAAACTTAATTTTTAATCTTTTTTTTTGCTAAAATTTGTTTATTTCGAAAAAGAAATGGACGAAACCTTATGCAAAGTAATTTTCTCCATTTTGCACGATCGTTACGGAACGAAATTTTGATAATTCGTTGGAACTTTTACTTTCATATAATCCACTTATTATTCTTCAAGATGTAACGCTTAGAAATTTACTGATTTTCATCGGAGATGTCTCGGTTTGAGTGGTAAGCGGTCCTTTTATGACTTACCACTTTAGCATGGACAACCTGTATAAAAAGATATTGACATTCCGCAATTATTGGCTATGTAAAATAAAAATTCTTAAAAACATACTTTTCTTTTCGTGCGTACGATACTATCCTCTTAAGGTTACCACCTAATAATGTTCTATAACAACGTACAAAATTCTTGGTACCTCGGACTCGAGGTCAATAGTTTCGGTGCAATTTCTATCTCTTGTCCGAAATGAAAGCATCGAGGAGACACTCGTGCAAGGCTAACTCCTAGAAACTCGGTTTTAATCGACGGGCCCAGCGTGCTTCTCGTACAATCTACAATCTAATCTCCCTTGGCGCGGCTTCAGCTCACCTTGCGCGAGTCGAAATGGAGGCTTGAACGAGGGACTTTCGGGATCTCGATCTTTCTTATGCCCTTTGTCGCGCATTCCGCGCGTGTTTCGCCCGTAATCACGAGTGCGTTTCCGCGGCGCCGTTTCCACGCGGTTACTCTCACCGCCTAATTCCCCGCCCACGACGCCGTTTTGTAACAGCGTCGCCTATTTACCTTTGGGTTCTGCTCGGCGGGATTCGAATAGTCGATAGACAGCAGAGACGCTCGAGGGGGTGGACTCGTTGCTGTGAAAGAGCGAAAGCTTCGAAGGGGAAGCGTTTCGGCAGACGTGGTTTTCATCACTGTGAAACAGTTAAGAGTACGCACTTGGCAGGAATGAAATGATACATCACCAATGAAGGGATTTGGACTCAATTTAATTAACCCATTTGCTGACACAATTTCTATTTGGGGATTTTGGAATTTTACGTACATCACTTGGCGCCAGAAATATATTTGGTACGTCTGACAGTACGAACTTAATCTTCAAGCTTGCTATTTAACCCTTCGCCCTACGATTTATCGTAGAATCGGGCATGCCATAATCACGTATATTTCATTGCGCCCTTTCATGCAACGTGCCCGACTCTTGTTTTGCATGTTTGACTCAAATTCTGTACAACCAGTCTCACATGTAGGTATAGGTTAAAGCATCAAATGCAACAATTTTTCTCTTTGACTGATTTCTTTCACACTGTCATCGTTCTTTACGTTAACACTCCTCTTTACTTCTACTCTGTGACTTTTACGAATGTATTTATTGGAAGCTCGTCGGTGTTATATCCCTCTTGCTATCGTAATAGCGCGCAGGGAATTCATCTGGTCCAATACACTACGTGACAACGTTCAAAGTTCCTGGGCTCTCGAGGTGGCCGAACGTGGACGTCAGAAATTTATTTTACGATCCCATTCGTCGGGATGCTCTCGTTTCGCCGCGGATGGAAACGGTGTTGTCCTGTCGGAAATCGACGCAAACAAATCAATCGGTTGCGAATGAAATCAAACAAACCAGCGAGACATTTTATCGGTTCGGTTCACGCCACCGTGGTCCCTCTGTTTCTCTCGGGCGACTGAAAGCCTTGGATGGAAGATGAAAAATAGGAGCAGGGAGGTCGTAGCAGCGTGTCACTCATTTTTTCATCCTCCATCCCTCATCTGGCTACTTTCTCATTTTTGTACTCTCAACACTCCCGTCGACGTAGACACGTTTCACTAACGATGGACGATCTCGTTTCGCGTTGGACGTCGCTCCAACCCCCTGTCTCCACTTTGTATTCGCGGCGATAGATCTTTCTGCGTGTCTTTCACAATTTAAAAATATGGAACAAGGAACGAGAAACAAGTTTTTCTATTTAGTAATCTCTATTGGAACTGAAAAGGAAAAGGAAACAAATGTCGTCGAGCTTTGTATTCGTTATTGCATGTGTAAAGACTGCAGTAGTACCTCGACTATAATAATCTAGATTATTGTATAAG